TATATATGTAAAGTGTGTGTGTGCGTGTGTGTGCGTGTGTGTGCGTGTGTGTGTGTGTGTGTGTGTGTCTGGTGTCTGAGGAGGCCACAAGAGAGTACCAAGTCCCCTGGAACTGCAGTTCTTAATGGTTGTGAGGTGCCATGTGGGTACTAGGAACTGAACCCGAGAATCCTCTGCAAGAGCAGCCAGTGCTCTTAACCACTGAACCATCCCTCCAGCCCTCACTCTACATTTTAACTAACCAATCATTTGTATGAAGAAGAGAGTGCATACTCATGGATTTTTACAGTTGATGAAGTCAAACACAATCCTATATGATTGATGGAGAAAACAGTAAAGATTAAAATTTACCTTTAAACTGGTTGTGGTGGTGCCTATCTGTTATTCCAGCACTTGGGTGGTAGAGGCAGAAATTCAAGGTCAGCCTTAACTACACAGAGAATTTGAGGTCAGCCTTGGCTACATGACACTTTCAAAAGCCAAAACCAAAAACGTACCTTTAGAACCTCAAAGGATGGGGCTGGAGAAATGGCTCAGGGGCTAAGAGCACTTACTGCTCTTCCAGAAGACCCAGGTTCAGTTCCCAGAACCCACATGGTGGCTAACTACTGTCTATAACTTCAGTTCCTGGAGGTCTGACTCACTTTTCTGGCTTTTGTAGGCACTGAATATAAATGGTGCACTTACAGCAGGTAAAATACCCTGACATATAAAATACAAATAAAATGATTAAAATCTTTTTAAAAATCATTTTTATTTTATGTGTATATTACCTGCATGTGTATAAGTGCACCCATGTTGTGCAATGCCCATGGAAGTCAGAAGGCATTAGATTCCCCTAGAACTGGAGTTATGGATGACTATAGCCACATGTGTGTGCTGGGACTCGAACAAGGGTCCTCTGCAAGAGCAGCCAGTGCTCTTAACTGCTGAGCCATCTCTCCAGCCCCATAAAATGATTTTTTTTTAATGAAAAAAACTCAGTGAGCTGGAGAGATGACTCAGTGATTAAGAACATGCACTGTTCTTACAGAGGACCCCAGTTCAGTTCCCAGCACCCACATCAGGCAGAACACAACCACCTGTAACTCCAACTCCAGGAGATCCATCACTGCTGGCCTCCAAAGGCACCTGCACTCACATACATGCATACACACACACTCATATACATATTTAAAAAAATGTACAAAACAAACAGACCCTCAAGTGAACCCAAGAGAATGAGATGCACATGGAAGAAAAACACAGAAGCTTCCAGGTTTGGGTTTACACAAGCTCTGGATTCCAGGAGGCATGGCTTGGAAACAGGTTGCAGAGAGCATTCAAAGCACATGGCAAGGAAGCCGGTGAGGGTTGATGGGAGTGCCAAGCTGCTTTTCCAGAAAAGCATGTGTGTGAATGGATGTAAATCCTGCTCACTACAGCAGATTGCAGACTGGAGATCTGGGATGCCTGAAGTCAGGACTGTCACTGCCGCTGGGGGAGCCCAGTGGAAAGTGTCCTTGCTTGCCTAGTGGCTCCGTTTCAGTGGTGATGTGGGAACTGTGTAGGAAACACTCACGATGGGAAGCAGCCCTTCCAGGAGACCTGGAGGAAACAGGAGAAAGGCAGGTGCTTTCTTTTCAGAAGCGAGCAGAAGACAGACTGGTCTGTTTGGGTCACCCTAGAGGGCAGAGTCTAAACCAGTAGGTGGGGGGTCTAGGTCACAGGAGAGCAGGTCAGGTTGTGGTTTTTTTTTTTTTTTTTTTTTTTTTTTTTTTTGAGTCAGGGTGTCATGTAGCCTGGGCTGGCCTCAAACTCCCTATGTAGCTGAGAATAACCTTGAATTTCTCTTTCTCTCTCTCCATTCCATCCCTCCTTCCCTCTCTTTTTCCTCCTTTTTTCTTTTCTTCCTTTTTTTTTGGAGACAGGATCTCCCTGTAGCCCCAGCTGGCCTGGAACTCACTGTGTAGACTAGGCTGGCCTCAATCTCACAGAGATCAACATGCCTCTGCCTCCTGAGTTCTGGGATTAAAGGTGTGCGCCATTATGTCTCCTCCCCCTTTTTTTTTCAGTAAAGTTTTTACATTTAGTTATTTAGTGATAGGGGCATGGGTGTCACAGCTTGTGTGTAGAGGTAAGAGGACAACTTACGAGTATTGGTTCTCTCCTACTATGTGGATTCAGGGATCTAATACAGGTCATTAGGCTTGGATGAAAGCATCTTTTCTCACTGAGCCATCTACCCCTCCTAGGACTAAAAATTTAAAAGGAATTTTCTAGCAGTTCAGTGGTGAATAGGGTTGTGGAGCTAGGCAATGAGGGAGGGCCGGGGTCCCACCCTGGCCACAGAGATGTGGCCATCAAGTCCCTTCCCTGTCTGAGTTCCTGGGATTCCAGGCCAGGAGAAGTTGGGAGAGAGGAGAGATTAGTTTGGGCTAGCCTGCTGCCCCTTTCCCTCATGGAGATACACCAGCCAGCCTCCCCAGTCTCTGGAACTCTTCCATGAGACACAGTAGTTTCAGTAGTGTCTCCAAAAAGCACTCAAGTCCAGGCAGGGAGAAGGAACTGGGGGAAGTGGATTCAGCAGCAAGACGGTGGCCAGGCATGCTGGCAGACTCTGAGCCCTTTCCTCCACCCGTTAGCTTCTAAGGGCTGCATCAAGTGCGAGGCGCCCTGCCCAGAGGACTGGCTGCTCTACGGAAGGAAATGCTACTTTTTCTCGGAGGAGCCTAGAGACTGGAACACGGGCAGGCAATACTGCCACACTCATGAGGCAGCCCTGGCAGTGATCCAGAGCCAGAAGGAACTGGTGAGTGTGTGTCAGCAGCAGGGACCGTCAGGGCCCACCCTTGACTGTAAGGGAGAGCCACATTCAAGCAGAGTGTGTGTCTATCCATAACCAACACCCCCCACTCCGCCCTGGCCCCCATCTCCAAGCCACTCAGCCACCGCACAGCCGTAGGTGTGTAGGTGAACTCCCTGGGATCTGAGCATGCGCACCTCCATTGTCTAAGCTATACTTCCAACAAACCAAGGATGGTTTGCTGAGCTAAATAAATTCAATACTGAAAAAAGGAAGACTGACAAGCCGTGAACACACTTGTGCAGTGTAAAACCATTCTTATCTCCTACCAAGTAGGTGAAGACACTGTCTCTCCGCTCGTACAATTTTACCTATAGAAGAGTTCAAGAAACAATTCATGAATCTCTCAGTCATTTTAGGTTTGGGGTCACCTTGGTGCACCTTTCTAGAGCAGTACTGAGTCTCAAAAACAATTTCTGCTTGTCTGGGATGCACAATATGCCTGTGTCCCTTTCCATAGAGAAAGTTCCAGAAGTACGCAGGTAGGTGGTGTGTTAAGATTTGATCAGGATCCTGGTCACTCAGCAGCAGCAAGCTGGGGGAGGAGGCCTTTTGCAGGCTGTTGGGGACAACTCCTGCAAGTGTGGGAGCCCTTAGTGGTGTGCGCTCCAGCCGTGCACTCCAGCCGTGCCTACCCCACTCCCTGCATGCTCCAATCCGGGGCCCTCAGTTTCTGAAACTCCTCCCAGGCTCTTCCACACCTCCCCGGAGCCAGTATCTTCCACGCCAAGGCTTGGTAGTGAAGAGACAGCCCCTGGTGCTGAGTTCTCCCTCTTTTCTTTTGCAGGAATTTATGTTCAGGTTCACGAGGCGAGAGCCCTGGATTGGCCTGCGCAGAGTAGGGGATGAATTCCACTGGGTCAATGGGGATCCGTTTGACCCGGACACGTGAGTCAAGGCTTCATTTTCTAGAAGGCCCTTGACCTTAGATGGGGAAGGTGTCATCCCCAGAGGCAGCACTTGGAGACGGAAGCATGAGGCTTTGTGCTGGCTATATATAGATCTTGTCTCTAGGGCCAGCGGGGGAGTGACTGGCAGGGACCCTTTATGAAAATGGCTTGACTTCCCTCCCCAAGTCCAGCCTGCACTACCTAGAGCTTTATAATGTCAGGTGCAGGCATGCTGCACCATGACCACTGCATCCATGCATTTCCTATTGACCAGGACTTAGCTACATGCCCACACTTGGCCACAAGGAGGATGAGAGGTGTGGCTCCTGTGGGTAGCAATGGGCCATGTATACATTGTGGCTGTGGAAGAAGGGGGCTCTGAACACAGCTGTCCACTGGCACTGTTGGCCACTTTTCCTAGGCCAGGACTTTCTGGTGCAGGTTCCCTGCAGGAGGCACTGGGTGGTGTTTTGTTTGTGTGATGTGGGTATGAGTGTGTGGTTGCAGGCTTGGTGTGTGGTGTGGGGACAATGGTGGCAATGGTCTTGGACAGTGGGGGGTTGGGGTGGCTGTGGCAGTGGGGGTGGGATAGTGTAGGCATGGGAGGGGAGAAGGTTGGTTTAGGGACAGGCAGGTCACCTGTGGGGAAACAAGAACTTCAGGCTCCTGGTGCAGCCTCCACCACTGGAGCAGTGGGCCCTGGGATGCCAACCTGATGGTGATGGCAGGAGTGACCCCAAGGCAGGAGCTGAAGGGAAAGGCTACTGGCAGCAGAGCTGGTGGTGAGTGGGGTCCACAGGGGGCTAGCTCAGGCCTCGGCTCTTCCCAGCTCCTCCCACCACACTAGTGCTCAGTGGTTTTACCACCTCCTGGCCCCAGTGCCTCTTTCTCCCTCTCTCCCTTCTCCAAACATAGACCATGGAAGAAACTTTCTTCTCCTTTCTGGAAACTTCCTGCTGTCAGAGCCTCAGAGAGTTCTGGAGGTTAGGGTCCCTCAAGGTCTGATCCTGGACAAAGAAATCGTTTTTGGGTCCATTCAACACCCTCTTAGCTACCAGGGGCAGAAATTGGGTGAGCAAGCCCTGTTTCTTTAAAATAATTTTTGAAATATTTTATTTATTTATTTATTTATTTATTTATTTATTTATTTATTTAGTCTTTTTAAGACAGGGTCTCCTTGTAGCCCCAGCTGTCCTGGAACTTTTTATAATGAATATGTGTGTACTTTAAGAAGTTCTATGGTGGTAACTTTCTATATGGCTTTTTCTAAATGAATTGCCACCACGCCGGGCTTATTATTTTTATTTTATGTGTATGAGTATATTGTCTGCATGTATGTAAGTGCACCTGTGTCATGCAATGCCCGTGGAGGTCAGAAGTCATTTGTTTCCCCTGGAACTGGAGTCATGGGACATGCCAACTGCCATGTAGGTGCTGGGAATTGAACTCAGGTCCTCTGTAAGAGCAGCCATCGTTCTCAACTGCTGGGCCATCTCTCCAGCTCCCTTTAAAACAATTTTTAAAATTTATTTTTATTTTATGTGTGAGTGTTCTGTCATGTAAGTACACCTGTGTATGTAAAGCCGGTGGAGGCCAGAAGAGGGCATTGGATCCCTGGAACTAGAGCTATAAATGGTTGTTAGTTGCCATGTGGGCTCTGGGAGAAGAACCTGGGTCCTTGGCAAAAGCAGCCAGTTCTTTTAACCCTTGAACTCTTTCTCCAGTCCCAAAGCCCTGTTTCTTTATAATACATCCAGGACCATGTGCAATGTCAGTGAATTCCAGAGCCACACAGAACCATTCATCCAGTGTTAGTATCTGATTAAGGCTGTTCCTGTCAGTCCCTGAGAGGTTTCATTCAGCCTGGCTTTCCTGAGTTTGTACTGTGTGCTAGACACTGTACTGTCAGTGAGCCAAGAGAGCAGGGCACAGAGCCCACTATTCACTGCTTGGGGACTGATGGTGACAAACAGATGTACCCCTTCAAGGCTGTGATGAACCATGTCCCACAGTGTAAATGGCACTGTGGGAGGTAGGGAGGGCAGAGGGTGGCTCTGAACTGGACACTTTAGAGTTGACCTTGGAAGGAGGTGGAAACTGGATGGGGAAGGGAGAGGGCATCCAGGAAGGGTCTGTGGAGCAGCCCCAGGTAACTGAAGCAGAAAGAAGGGAGACAGTGGGAGGCCAACCTAGGAAGGTGTGCCAGGTGGCTGTCTTGGAAGGCACTCCAGTGATGACTAGCTGGGGGGACAGGCCAAAGACCTCAAGGGCCACCTCTAATGGGACTACATGTGCCAGTTGTGAGCACCTGGTCTCTTCTCTTCTGTCACAGATTCACCATCTCAGGCCTGGGGGAGTGCGTCTTTGTGGAGCCCACCAGGCTGGTATCGACGGAGTGTTTAATGACCCGGCCCTGGGTGTGTAGCAAGATGGCCTACACGTGAGGTGGATCAGGCCCAAGGTGGCCCCTCTGCCCAGTCCCAAGGACACAGCCTGCTTCTAACAGGAGCCACCCCTGTCTCCAAGCAGAAGTGGTGGGGAGGGTGGCCTCTGCCTCTGTCCCCTCTCAGGCTCCAGAGCTCTGAGGCCCTGGTTTCTGGTTACTTTTGTCCTCAGGCAGGTCCTGCGGCTCAGCAGTTAAATCTTAAATGCTAAGTAGCGTAGACATCTTTTCCCCATACATACATCACATGCTTGTAAACACACATACAACACCACCCAGGCTCTTCTTAACAGTTTCTTCTCCCCTGGCCCTGCTGGAACCTTCCTTCCTTACTGCAGCCCAGGTGCTTCTGGGAAGGTGGGGGGCTGACACAGGTTGGCCCAGCAGTCTGTCCTCTTCAGTTTCAGGTTGCTGGGGGAGGTAGGCAGACACAGCTTGCCCCTCACCTTGGAGAGAACAGCCCAGGGCCAGAGGCCCCTGTGTCCATCTCCCTGGGGTCCTCAGGCAGGGCCCCTGCTGTGCCGTGGTGCTGTTGTATTGGTCACTAATGAAATAAAGACATGACTGCATCGACAGCCTCTTGTCATTTGTTCCAGGATCACAGTTCAAGGAGGAGCAGAGGAGCAAAGTCTGTGGGTGGCCACCATAAAGCTGCACCTTTCCTAGTGTGACAGTGTCAACCGAGGATGAAGAAATGAGCAACAAAAAGGAGCATATTTTCTAGCCTGGGGCCTCACTTAATGCTATTCTTGGCTGTGTGGAGGGTGGGCTACACCCTGGTGCCTTCATTACTATTCAGCTCCATCTGACAAATGTTTATTCACACCTACTATGTGGCAGACACCATGCCAGGCATGGGGGATCTGTGGCCTTATCCTCCAGGGAGTGCACAGGGAGGAAAGGAAACATAAAGCACTAGAATGTTCTAGAGGAATGGTTTATTCTGCTTGGGGGAAGATAGGGTGGTGTGAGTGGGAGGATTTGGCAATGTTCAAGTTGGGCTTTTTGAGGGTTTCTGGCCTCTTCCTAGCCCCCACCCCCTTGGTCTGTCTGGGTAAGAAGTAAGGACTGCAGAGCTCTGGGAGCCTCTGTCTCCAGCATCTCTGAGACCCCATGCAACCTGTCATGGAACCTGCTGTTTGTGACGTCTTCCCGCTGTCTGGGATGTCCTCCTGTCTCCAACCAAATGAAATGTACATTCCTTCCTGGAGCCAAGTCTTTCAGTTTAGGTCCTGGTCCATTTTCAGAAAATACCTCAGAGGGAAACCAAGTCCCACAGGTTTCTGTTCAGTCCTTTTGAGTATAGTTTTTAGACAAAACTACTTGCTTCTGTTAGCTTTTCTGAATGCTTCCTAGATATTTCTTCAAATATAGGCAATTTAGAGCTTCACAGGAAGTCAGTGGCAGACCAGGATATATGCTAAAGTGTTAAGGGACTTCTTGGGGAGCTCTCTTCTCTAGCATGTGAGGAAATGTGAAGACCCACTGCCAGATGCCCCTGTGGCCTCCTAATCCCACCTGTGCTCAGCCATGGCCAGGCCGCGGCTCACCAACGCCTCTCAAAGGGTTATGAGTTCAGAGAATGAGAGTCATTCTTTTCTTTTTAAATATTTAAAATATTTTATTTATTATTCTTATTTTATGTGTATGAGTGTATTGCCTGCACGTATGTGAGTGCACCTGCGTCGTGCAGTGCCGTAGACGTCAGAAGAGGGCTTCGGATTCCCCTGGAACTGGAGTTAAGGACAGTTCATAGCCGCCATGTGGGGGCTGGGAATCGAACCTGGGTCCTCTGCAAGAGCAGTCAGTGCTCTTAACTGCTGAGCCATCTCTCCAGCCCCCCTCATTCTTTTCTTAAAAAAATTATTTTTATTTTATGTGTGTGAGTGTTTTGCCTGCATATTTCTATGTGCACCTATGTTATGTGATGCTTGTGGAGGCCAGAAGAGGGCATCAGATCCCCTGGAACTGGGGTTACAGATGGTTGTTAGCTACCATATGGGTGCTGGGAACTGAACCTGGATCCTCTGCAAGAGCACCCAGTGCTCTTAACTGCTGAGCCATCTCTCCAGAGAGTTATTCTTATTAAACATTTGAAGCCTGTTGCCTGTTGCTTTTTTTTTTTTTTTTTTTTTTTGCATCTGGCCAAAAAAAAAAAGTTTGCTCCTAACCTTGGGCTCATCCGGAGTCTACAGGAGCCATCCTAAGTCTAAGTTAGGTTGGCAAAGCAAACTGGTGACCATGGGTCACCAATATTTTAAGTTTTCCTCCTGTCTGCTCCTACAGAGGAAGAAAACACAAGGTGAAAAACAAACAAACAAAGCCTCAGACCAAACCAGACAGAAACCCTGCCTCCCTGCCCCACAACCCCCTTCACACTGCGCAGGAGGAGTGTGGGCTCCTCTGCAGTTTCTACAGGTCTGGCCATTGCCCACCTGCAAGTGGCCAGAGCTGGCTCAGACCGTGCGCTGTGCTCGCTCTTCTGACCCCCAATCCCCACCAAGCTGTGTGTGCCCGCCTCAGGGATGACTCATGGCCACCCATCTCCAGCCCTACTTATACTCTGGGCTCATTTTTCCTTTTGGAAGTGACTCCCTTAGAATGAAGAGTGCACCAAAAACCAGAGCCCAGGCTCCCTAGGCAGATTAGAACTCAAATCCCAGCCTAGGCCTCAGTATTATCATTGGAGCACGCAAGGCCTCTGCAGGCAGAAGCTGTGGGGTAGGCTGACCCCAGGAGGGCTTTGGAGCGATGGAAGATGCTGACAGAAGTCTGAGAGGACCTACGGAGGCAGTTGGACTCTGTATTAGCCACTTGACTGTTGTTTCTTAATCTTCCTCATGCCTGCAAAGCAGCTGTCAGGCAAGTAAGTCAACAGATGAGCAAGAAGCTCACCTTGGAAAAAGACGTCTATGAGCCCACTTGTGTGACTTTCCTAAGGTCACAGAAAGTGAGTCATGTCAATTATGACATCTTTCCTTTTCCTGTGATGATTTTTATTTTTTTGAGACAGGGTCTCCTGGTAGCCACAGCTGTCCTGGAACTCCCTATGTAGACCAGGCTGGCCTTGAACTCCCAGCGATCCTCCTGCCTCTGCCTCGGAGTGCTGGGATTAAAGGTGTGTGTCACCATGCCCAGCTAACACCTGTCATTTTCAAAGAGCTCTGGTCTGGGGACACCTTCTGTTAGTGACCCAGGGACCACTCCTTCCCCCCACACCCAAGCTTCTCCCATGAACCGGCTCTACGTGGTCTTGCTCATCTGGTCATAAGTCCCAAGACAACAGAGATTGTGTGTTGTCAGTGTCTGTCTACACAGAGCAGATGCTCAAAGTTGTCATAAATGGTTATACTTCCCCCTAGCGTCTTCTTGAGGCTATGCACTGTGAGAGCCTAACCAGAGCCTAGCAGACAGCATGTTCTTAAACCTCTCCAACTGAGGGCTAAATAAACTGCTTTATAAAGTATCCAGCCTCAAGTGTTCCATTATAGAAAGAAAACAGATTAAGACATCTTTCCTCTGGCCTTTCATAAGCTATTGAGCTCTGTGAAAATCCTGTGGAGAAAAATTTATATGTTTCCAGAGATTCTATCAAGTCCCTGAACATAACATTGGGCCAAGGGGCCATTATTATTTGGCAGCTTGTTTTCACTTTCACAAAGTTTGTCTGTCTAGTGTAGGACTGTCTTCCATGAGTCATTCCCCCAGAGGCAAACATGGCTACTGATGTCTCCTCACCCAGAAGGGTTTCCTTGTGACCTTATTTCTTGGGTGAATTTTTATCAATCTGACTTTTATAAGTTACCCTGCTGTGACAGAAACAAAGCCCCATAACTACTTTCCATAAGCACATCACAGTGGAAACCTTCTACACTCTCTTTTGAATGTAAAAACAAATTATCTGCCTACCCCCCACCCCATCTCTAGTATGTAACAGGCCAAGGACAGGATAATTACAAAAGGGACTTCCATTGAGAATCCTTGGCTTACAGCAATTCTCAACTCCTCTTGGTGTGAGTTCTGTCAAGGAATGTCCTTAGTGGGCTCAGATTCTGCTCCCTCAGGTGGGGAGCTGTGCTCTCTGACTGCTATCAGCCCAAGACCTGTCTGAGGCTCTGGAACAGAAGGAAGCATTTCCTAAGTTGTAGTGCTATTTGAGGTTTCTGTGGCAATATCCTTTCTTCAAAGATGTGATATACTTGGGTCTAGTTTCAGTCCATCAGAGATGCTCCCCAGCTCACATGCATGTCTTCCTTCCTTCCCTCCCTCCCTACACACACACACACACACACTTGCATACACAGCTCGTCCTTCCCTCCCTCCCTCTCTCTCCCTCCCTCCTTCTCCTTCCCTTCCCTCCCTTCCCTGTCCTTTCCCTCCCTCCCTCCCTTCAGATTCTATTCATGATTTTCTGTTAAGCTAATGTGCTGTTATCAAAGGAACTGGAAATGGTACCTATGGGCAGCCACATTCCCATCTTGACTTTGCTGGAGGTACAGTTCATTTGGGTTTTGTCCTGTTTTGTTGCTGAAACCATTTTCCCTCTCCCTCCCCATTCCTCTCTCCTTTCCCTTTCCTCCCTTCTCTCTCTCTCTCTCTCTCTCTCCCTCCCTCCCTCCCTCCCTCCCTCTCCAGGATTTTTTTTTTTTTGGTCTTTTTGAGACAGGGTCTCCCTGTAGCCCCAGCTGTCCTGGAACTCACTATGTAGACCAGACTCGGCTCGAACTCACAGAGATCTGCCTGCCTCTGCCTCCCAAGTGCTGGGATTAAAGGCGTTCGCCACCATGCCCAGCCTATCTCTTCAGGATCCTATGTAGGTCACACTGCCCTTGAACTCATGGCAATCCTCCTGCCTCAGCTTCCTAAATGCTATAGGTGTGAGTCACTATGCCCTGGCTTATTTTCCTTATTGATTGAGGGTTTTTTTTTTCTTAAAAAAATTTCTTTTGGGGGTTGGGGATTTAGCTCAGTGGTAGAGCACTTGCCTAGCAAGCCCAGGGGTTGGGTCCTCAGCTCCGAAAAACAATTGTTTTCTTCTTTGATCTTTCATATTTTGAATTTCATTTTCTTTGTTTTCTGTTTGTAAATAGACTAGTATTACTTTTTTTTTTTTTTTTTGAGAGGTTGATGTAGAACTCAAGCTTTCCCTGCCTTCCAGCTCAGGGATCACAGGAGTAGGCCACCATGCCTAGCTAGATTCCTTCTTTCTTAATTTTTACATCTTATAAAATCTTACTGAATGAGCTGGGCGTGATGGCACACGCCTTTAATACCAGCACTCAGGAAGCAGAGGCAGGCGGAGCTCTGTGAGTTCAAGGCCAGCCTGGTCTACATAGTGAGTTCAGGCCAGTTGGGGCTATAGGGAGTCTTCTCAAAGAGACTGAAAAAAAAAAAAACCCTTACTGAATGAGCAGTGTCAGTCTGCACCCTCCAACATTCTTTCTCCTGTCACTTCTTAGAACTGGTGAGTCGTTAGGGTGAGGTCTGCTTCTACAGTGTTGCAGGCTTAGCCCAGGTTTTACTCAAGCCTTACATGGACCACCATCTTTCCCCCAAATCAATTTATTTT